AACACCAAAATTGTTTGGTTCGTCCTCCAAAGGAGTACAAGATTCCACTGACTTGGCCAGCAGGTAGGGATGTCATATGGAGTGGAAATGTGAAGCTAACCAAAGATCAGTTCCTTTCTTCTGGAAGTATGACAAAAAGGTATAGTTGGTCAAATTCAGGTCATCTTCAAATTGTGCATTTACATGATAGAGCATGTGTTTTAAGTCTTTACCTCCTCTGGATTGGTTTGTATTAAGTAATATATTCTAAAGGGCCATTTTTATGCCTTCTTTAAAGTTGGTCATCGGTTTACTTTCTTTCCAGGCTAATGTTATTGGAAGAGAACCAAATTGCTTTCCATTCAGAGGACGGAATGATTGTTGATGGTGTCAAAGATTACTCTCACCTTATTGCGGATATGATTGGGCTGGGAAGTGATACAGAGTTTCTTCAAGCTGGTGTAAGTTCAACGGTTGTTCTGCATTAAATAGACATATCCTTATTTGTCACTTGTTTGTATGTTTTTTTTAAAAATCAATTATTTTGGTCTGTGAATGATGTACTGGCTTCATTCCTACATCTAAATGCAGAACAGATTTCACTCTTAGATATATTGTCTTTCTCTTCTGAATAACAGGTGCGGTCCGTGCTGGATATTGGTTGTGGATTTGGTAGCTTTGGTGCCCATCTACTTTCACTGAGGTTGATGGCTCTTTGTGTGGCACCATATGAGCCATCTGGTAGCCAAGTTCAGTTAGCACTCGAGAGAGGACTTCCAGCTGTCATTGGCAATTTCATTTCAAAACAGCTTCCATTTCCATCATTGTCCTATGACATGGTTCACTGTGCTCAATGTGGAATCATTTGGGATAGCAAAGGTATTGTCGCAGTTGTGCTTTGAGGAAGTACTGGTTTCATCAGGCATTTATGAGTGACTAATCTTATTATATTTGTAATTTCCATGTATTAACTATGATATGTACTTCGTTTGCATGTTTATTTCATGATGTCGATTGTCAAATCCACCCCTAAACGTTACACGTATTCCTTTCCATCTGTTATATGATTAACCCCTTACATTGGCTAACATAGTTTCCAAATAGAATAATGTTGCTTGATATTGCCTATTTAGCTAGATTTTACTAGTGTCCCGCTGATTAATTTTCTTTTTAAATTCAAAATCCTGCTCGGTCTCACCTGAGCTGGACCGCCGCTGAAAGTTGCCTGAAAGCTTAGACCATCTTGTGTGTCGGATGATTGATCTTTAGCTGGGGCTAAATAGTAATTATCATTTAGAAACCAGCACCATATTCATATTTACAGATGCATTCTAGTCTATAGTTGATTTTGTTCTTTCACATTTCCTGTAGAGAAAATCAAAAGCACGCTCTTTTCATCTGTCAGCTATCATGATGAAACAATTTCAGATCTCATATCGCTTTCTAAACATTTAAATATCCATTCAAGTCCTGTTGAAATTTGAAAATAAATTTAATAGCATGGAACTGGCAATGATTTGACAAAACAGATGGGCTATTTCTTATTGAAATTGACCGTTTACTCAAGCCCGGTGGTTACTTTGTCTTAACCTCACCTACAACCCAGCAGCAGGATGGTACTACCAGTACAAAGAAGGGAATCACATCTAGTTCACTGGAAGGATTCACTAAGAAGCTCTGTTGGCCTCTTTTGGCACAGCAAGAAGAGACGTTTATTTGGCAGAAGACAGCTGATTCTCAGTGTTATACATCCAGGTAAGGCTACTAAGAAAGGCAATGCGTGTAGCTAATTTACTCCCAAACCCCACACGCACACACACACATCCAAACATTTTTAATGGATCATGGATAGGTTTGAAACTGTTGTCATTTGTGCACTTGTTTATAAATTATTCTATGCCTATGCCCCCAATTACCCTATATCATTTACAAAACTGGAAAAGTTGCTGTTTATGCTCTGGTGTTAATATTCGTGTGTTTTGATCTGTTTTCAAGTGGTAGTTTTGCCTTTTTTTTCAAGTTGTAGTTTTGCCTTTTTAGTTTTCTTTCTTTTCCACTTAACTTCCATGATAAGAATTTTTGTTTAATTGTAGCAGTCAGGATGAGATACCAGTTTGTAAAGGAAATGATATGCAAATGTACTATCAACCACTTGCACGCTGTATATCTGGGACAACGAGTCACCGGTGGGTTCCAATCCATAGCAAATCTGATGATCTGAACTCAACTGAGCTTGAAATTCACGGCAAGTGTTTTTTCTGTTTTTCCAAAACTAGATTGGTTATTGCAACGTTTTCAGTTTTATATTTGTTCTCCAATTCCGGTTATTTTGACCCTCTATTTTTAGCAGTCATTTTTTTACCAATCGTTTGCTTTGTGACAGGGCTCCATCCTGATGATTTCTTCGAGGATTCAAACTTCTGGAAATTAGCTCTGAGAAATTATTGGTCTTTGCTCTCACCCTTGATTTTCTCTGACCATCCGAAAAGGCCAGGTGATGATGATCCATTACCTCCATATAATATGGTGCGTAATGTCATGGACATGAATGCTCATTATGGCGGTCTTAGTGCTGCATTGATGGAGGCAAGAAAAGCCGTATGGGTGATGAATGTGGTTCCTCTTGGGGCGCGTAATACACTTCCTCTCATACATGATCGAGGTTTTGCCGGTGTTCTGCATAACTGGTGAGACATTGTTATAAATGTTCTAAAGACTTGCAAAGACATGTGCTTGGATGTGTTAACATGCTAAAGTTGGAAAGAATGCTCTCATGTTTCTTGATAGTAAAATTTTATTATATATTTTCCGTCTCTTATTAGTTAGCGGAAGCAATTACATCTTTCTGGAATGATCCGGTTGTTTTCCATGCGTAATTTAATGTTGGCTGTCAGCCTGAATAGGTTTTGGTTGTGATTGTAATCTTCTCCGTCACCAGAATTAATATCTTCCACTTAGCCATGTCATTATATAGTCAGTGAGAATGAATTTAAGATCATAAGAAGCTTGACCATATCATCACCTGGACATATTCTTGAAATTTTTGTCCTTTCAGTTGAATTCTCATAAAGCAATTGGAGTTGAACTGTTTTTATTGCTAGATGCTCGAAATATTCTGGTTATTGATTCCGAGTGTTGTTCTAACATTGGTCCAGGTGTGAACCCTTCCCTACATATCCCCGAACATATGATTTGCTCCATGCAAATGGGCTCCTTTCCCACATTGCTTCACAAAAATGCAGCATGTTTGAACTACTTCTAGAGATGGATCGTATTTTAAGGCCTGAGGTAATATTCCATTTGCTCTCTATATTTCTTTAATGATCTTTTGATTTACTTTTTCTTCGAAGGTTAGCTTGTTTCCCTCATTGTAAGAATATACTTGTTGCAGGGATGGATTATTCTTTCTGATACATTGGGTACAATAGAAAAAGCACGCACGTTAGCTGCCCAAATCCGCTGGGAAGCCAGGGTGATCGACCTCCAGAATGGAAGTGACCAGCGACTACTTGTATGCCAAAAACCATTTGTGAGGAAGTGATATTCTGCAAATGCATAACTTCACCAATCCAATGATAGTCCAGTCCTTTTTAACACTGGTAAGTTCTTAACTTCTCGTGTAAACGAGGAATAAGTATGAAAACGCAGAAGTTCAATTGAAAATCTGTAAATCCGCGCTTCCTGTCATATATTTTCTTTCATGAAGTGGACTACAATTTGATATTTCATGGCCACAAGCTGCGCGTTGACGTCTGAATCTCTTGGTCCTCGCATAATATGGTGCTCACAAAGCTGAAACTATAATTTTTGGAGGCTGATGAATATAGAGAGTGCTTTTGTTTCATTAAGTAGTTAACAGTACACAAAAGAAGATTTTTGGCCTTTTTCTATTTTTATTTTTTTTCAATATTTATGTAACAATTCTTTCATCTCATTTTTTTTTTCAATTTTGAAATTCATTCTGAATTATGTTTTGTACTGAGGAACTAGCCTTTACTGAAGAGCAAAAGTTCTATATTGGATCAAGCATAAATATAACACTTGACCAAATTCTTCAAGAATTGGCCTTCCATCATTTGTCTTGTGGGGTTGAGTCATACTTAGTTGCTTGGACTCGAGTATGGTATCCGATACGAGTGTGGATTTAGAGGTGGTATTCGAGTATGTTATCTGATACAATATATATACACTTAACGATACAAATTCAGGTATAGTACAAATTTGGGTGCCGTTTAAAAATAATTCAAATATCTAAGATAGCTCGTAGTGTGCACTAACTCATTTTTTAATTGTCATGTTGCAGTAAAGCTCAAATATTTCTAACAAACAAACAATGATGTGGGGTGCATGGTGGATATTTTGTGGACTAGTTATTGGTTTATCGGTTAATGATCGTTATCGGTTAAATCGTGAAGATTTGAAAAAGAAATCATTGAAATCACTTTGTAAATGTGACAAACCAGATGAACTATGCACATGAGTTGACAGACTGCATTTTGCTCAAAAGCAAACATGCTCACATTGTAGAATAATCGAGAGTTTGAGATAGTAAAAAATAAAAGTATGAAACTAAACTCTATGTTAAGGACTTTATATATCAAATAGTATTAATATAATTATTTAATTTTCCATCGGGCATTGGTTAACCTATTAAGAAAATAACTCAAACCATTAAGAATCAATAGCCTGATAATAGTAAAAATATTTAAACCGTTACCGAAATCGCTAAACCAATAACTCATCATCGATAAACAAATGTATTTTTTTTCAGTTTGATTCAATTTTGAACAATGCTAATATACATTAAAGATATTGATGCCCGACACTATCAAATCTTGAATCTGCCTCTGCGCTTTATATAGTGCAAATGTTTCATCTAATTAGGATCCAAATTTAATTTGACAACCATGTTTGGGCCTTCTAGTTTCTAATGGACCCAATTTCATCAAATTTGTTTTAATTGGGCCTCAATTGTATTTTCCTCAAGTTTTCATCTTCCTCGCCGTGAACCATTTTCCCACTCCACCGGCGGCCACCTTCCTCCACCGGGAAAACCTGAGTAAAAATTGCGCTTTTTGTTTCAGTTAGGTTCGAATATCGACTAGATTCCATAGCTGAGACTTTTTGCTATTTTGGGAACAAATTTATATAGTTTGGAGCTTAAGCTTTGGAGAGAAATCTCGGTACACCTCAAATCTACTCCATTTACTGCTTGCAGCTTGTTTGGATGCTTCTATATTTTTGTTTTGATTATTACTTTAATTTAATTTTGTTCTATCCTATCATTAATCAGTGTGATAGCGTAGTTACCTTGTTTTTTCTTCTCATTTTGTCTTTGTTTATCATCTAATAATCCTATTTTATCATTTGTCATATCTTTTTGCAAAGGTTTGTCTTTCAAATTGCTAATGTGTGACGATATGATGCATTATGAAACTATATGTAACAACCATCCAAACAAAGTGTTTGACTATTAATGTGTTGTGATTCAATTTTTTAATATGTGCCCAATCTTAGGCTGTCACAAATTTTTTGATTCTCTATTTGTTAGAGAGAGGGAGAGAGAGAGGTATTTGAGTCTATGGAGTCTATCTTATCAATTGATTTTGGCTCTCAGGTTTATTTCTGGCTTTCATAAATTACAGTTAGTTCATAGGCTTGTTTGATTATTTTATTAGCTTGCAGTGCACTTTTATACTGGTAGTATTTTTATATCAGTTTTCCTTAGTCCTCCTTAGATTTCACTTCTTTTGAGCTGAGGGTCTATCGAAACCGCCTCTCTAGAGAGGTAGGGGTAAGGACTGCGTACATCCTACCGTGTCCAGACAGTATGTTGTTGTTGTTTCCCTTAGTCATGTTCCTGTAGCTTGGTCTGAACTGGGATAATGCATTTCATGGTGTCATCTTTATTACCAAAAAAAATAAAATCTAGGTATCATCAGGACATATCCCTGAGCAAAAGAATGAAAGAGAGTAAACTAGCCATCACTGAGTATAGGTAAGGCTCACCAAAGCTGCTGAAAAAGTACCCAAATCTCAAGCAAGTGAATTTGTAATAAAAACTAACCGTGATTGATCTTTTTAATGATTTGTTTAACATAAAGGAGCAATAAACTAGGAACGGTGTGAAAAAAAGCTAACATCTGATATCAAATGATGTTGATTAAAATGCAATAACTAGGAAATCAAACAAATAAATAAGAAACAGATCGAACACATGGATAGAAGTAGAAATTAGATTGGGGAGGACAGAACTTAGAAGAAAGAATGGATAAAACTAACAATTATATCATTAGAATTTATCCTTGGAAGAAGGAAATGAACTCATACAAGGAAGAAACCAAAAGAGGTTCAATAGGGAGATACAAGGATAATCCCTAACTACTCACCAGAAGGAGTATACTCCTTTTATCATCCAAAAGCTAACCCCCTAAAAGGGAAAAGGAAGAGACTATTTTCAGGTTCTAATTAAGGTTTCAATACCCATTCCCTCAGATAAGGCCTTAAAAATTGAATGGGCCGAAACTGCAACATATCCAAAATTAAAAAGATTTTTCCGGTTTCCTTGACTTGATTTTTTGGTTTCCACATCCTCTTAAAGCACTTATAACTCGATGTCAAGTTGAAAGCCTTCCATGTCACGGTGCTTCCGGCGCATACATCATTTTTTGAGTAAAAAAAATAAAATACTAAGCTTTGCTTTTAAAGACCTTTATTTCATCAGAAGTCTTCAGCAGTAAAGCAACAGAATAGTGCTGGACTATTAATTGGAGTGAAATATCTTCTTCTTAAAGATAATAGAGGATGTGGATCTCCAAAAAAAATGACAATCTTGGATGTGTTGATTACAGGGTTGCTTCCAGTTTCGCGGAAGATGTCACTTTTCAGGCTCTCTAGAAGAGTCAATCCTTTACTTTCTTTAAACAGGACTCATCATTATCCACTTTCCACATCCAGGTGATTAATTAGCTATTTTGCTTTTCTCTTAGTTCATTTTCCCTTCTGGCATATCTGCATTGCCATGAGGTAATGGTAGTTGAGTGTGTCCCATATTGCTCAACCTATTCTTCATTGATTCAGGGAATATCTTGAAATTGTAGCGTCAAAAGATATAAATCTTGGGGCAATCAACAATAAATATGGACAAATCTTTGGTTTTGGATATCGAGGTTTCACATCAAGATGTGAGCTTAACAAATCTACTCTTCACAACTGCAAAGGGCCCTCCTTTTTGAGATGGCAGAGTACAGTTAGGTCTTGGCCAGTGTTGAATCTTCGTCATCATTATGCAACTCAGGCTACTGCAACAGAGAATAAATCAAGGAAGATGCTCTTTTATTTGGTGGGTTTAGTTTTTGCTATGGTAGGGGCTAGCTATGCTGCAGTTCCTCTGTACAGGAGATTCTGCCAAGCCACGGGATATGGAGGTACAATTCAACGTCGGGAGGTCAGTTTTTCTTCATTGATCTGGTTATAGATAGGCTTTCAGAGTCCTCTGAAATTAATGAAATTTACCACCTTACAGAGTGTTGAAGAAAAGATTGCCCGACATGAGAAAGATGGAAGAGTTACTTCTAGGTACTTCATATGTTGCTCGCTTGAAGATCTTTTTTATTGTAACTTGCAACTATATTTTGTTTACGGGTACATTTAAAAGTTTTTTGTTCACTCATGTTATTAAAAATCATTGCTTCGTCACTTAAAGAGATGAAGTCATGCAAAACTAGGAGACATCTCTGCATGGGTGGAGGCATGCGCTCTATAGAAGTGTGCTCTCCAAACTATGAAGCCATACTGATACAAAGAAGAACGGGTCAATTCTTTAAATCTCAATGTTAAGGAGTTGCATTAATATTGGCATTATGTCTTATTAGATGCTGAAATAAGCAATTTTTATTGCAATTTGATGTAGTACTAAATGCAATGGGATTTTTCTTGTGAATGGTGCACTTCACTTCAAAAAAGAACGAGCTTTACTTCTCACTTTTGTTTCAAGCTTCCTGGACCTTGTCGTTTTTTTTGTGCTTTTCGCTTATAAGAAACATTGTTTCTCTTTAGTTCTTTCTGTCTACTTTCCTAAAAGATAGTGAATAAGAAATACAGTGGTGTTTCTTGAAGCAAATAATACAGATAACTTGTATAAATCCACCTAATTTCTAACTGTTCCACTGGCCCTTGGAGATTTCTCAATTATCAAAAGAAAAACATTATTTCTGGAAACAATTTCTAATATGGTATGTTTTTAAGGGAAGCCTTTTTCACAATTTATTTATGTAACTCTTCTATATTGCATTAGGGAGATTGCAGTACAATTCAATGCTGATGTAGCAGACGGGATGCCTTGGAAGTTTACTCCAACACAGCGTGAGGTGCCTTTTCCGTTATAGGCATGTGTTATGTTCATTAATAGTTAGTCAACGTACTAATGGTTTAGCATGCTTCCTATGTTCCACTTGATGTATTCTCCTTATCTTGTGATTCAGGTAAGAGTAAAACCAGGAGAGAGCGCTCTTGCGTTTTACACTGCTGAAAATCGAAGTTCGACTCCTATTACAGGTGTATCAACATACAATGTGACCCCCATGAAGGTATTTGCTTATAAAATTAGGTGTAAGTGTAGTTTGTCCACCTCCCCTTGTTGTTCTCGATCATCCAATACAACCTTTAGGCAGCTTATGTGACTTGAAGACAGAACTCCCTAGTCCCTCCACCTATTGTCATATTTCAATGTTTTCCTCTATTGAACATCTCAAAACTGTAGATACTCCTCATAATTGTGATGTTATTTCTATTAGACAAGTCTTCTATTTCTGAGTCTATTCCAAACATATTATAGGTCATAAATAAAGGAATCTTTTCTTTTAAAAATAAAGTTAACTTTCATTGATGTTGGCACCAATATGGTGCCACACCCTCTGTTCAAGAGCGTCACCGACATGAGGGTTTCAACTATGCGATATATAACTTAACCATTCTCTCTTAAAAAAAAAGGAAGTGAAGGATGAGACCTCATGTCACTATGCTCTTTGAGAATGTGCATAGATCATGTATCTACTACTGAGGGTTATATATTTTGTAGTCCAGTCGTTTGCTCAAAATATATTGTTCTGAACAGATTAGTATAATTGACAACCATAATGGTGATGTGCCTTCAATTTCATAGCATAGTCACCCTAGTAGACCCATACTTAGTTGTCAAATTCACACATTTCAAAAACAGTCATAACTATGTGCAACTTGCACCCTCTAGCGAATTTGGTTATTTTTCATCTTTTATATTCTGATCGAACATCCATCTTAATTCATGGCATAAGCATTTCTGCGCCATTTAACTTGTGGTTGTGTTGGACATTAGTGGCATAATGTTCACTCTCATATAACACTGCTAGTCTTATAGTTGTTCCATAAAACTTACCTTTTCGTTTAGTAGGAATCATACTATCATATAAAACCTTGATAACCCTTTTCCATTTCAACCATAGCATTTTCGAAGAGCATCTCACCTAGATATCTGTAAACAGTACTCAAGCACCACAACCCCGTCTAATCTCACATCAATTTCACTCTTCTTATTTTGACTAAGCTCGTAGTGCATTCGGTCTTTTGCTTTTCTTAAATCCCTTTCATTGTAGAATGATTCTCCACAGTTCCATCTTTTGGTTGACATCCTCATTGATTTGGTCGATTAACACAATATGACCTCTATTTTGTATTGTGTTAGTTATCTCATTAATAATTAGGGTAAACAACTTCGGGCTTAATGCTGATCCTTCATGTTTGTCTTATCAGGCTGCTGTGTATTTCAATAAAATACAATGTTTTTGCTTTGAGGAACAGCGATTGCTTCCCGGGGAGCAGATTGACATGCCTGTAAGTAGCTCCTCAACTTTCTTTGCCTGAAGATTATTGCATCTATCCCTCCTTTCATTCCAATGACACATCAATCAACTTGCATTTGTAGGTTTTCTTTTACATTGATCCCGAGTTTGAAACCGACCCCAAAATGGATGGCATAAACAATTTGATCCTATCATACACATTCTTTAAGGTCTCGGACAAATAAAGAAGCTGCATTGCTCCCGCACCTGGGTGTGGTCACCACCAGATATGTAATTTACTGCAGCAATAACTTGATTTTTGTGGCTGACAAGGGAATGAGCAGTGAAAACATTGTTTCACCTGTAGTTTGTGTTATTACTGGACCAAAAAAATCATTTATCATCCTACTACAATAATTTAAAAGAGAACATAAAAATATGAATGGCTACAACAATTGAAGCCTTTTCTTTAGCCATATTTTGTCTTTCTGTTGTGTTGGTTGATAGATGTTAAACACTTCCATTGTTATGTATTGTATACTTGTATGAAATCTAAGATGTCGACAACAACATATTCAGTGTAATTTCATAAGTGGGATTTGAAGAAGGTAAAGTGTACGACCTACTACTTCTTAAAGAGATAGAGCGGTTGTTTCTGATAAATCCTCAATAGTTACAATAAACTAAAGATCAACATAGAACTTAATTTTAAACACTTCTTAGAAAGGTCCTTCAGGTATGCATCGCGTGAGAAGATTGTAGGACAGATTCATACTATCATATAAAACCTTCAATTCAAGTTGACTTAGTAACACACACGAAAACTAAGAAAATTCTGAATTTTAATTTCAGTCCTTCAATATTTAAAAGGGTGATGTGGATCCTCTAAAGGCGATGGATATGGTTTACTAGGTCATTACGGAGGATTCTAAAAAAATATTGACCAATTGAAGCCGGTAATATTCCCAAAAGTTTATGGCTTACACACAAAAAATTGAAAAACATAATCAGAATTCATATTTCATGGACCTCTAAATGCTATAAGAAATGGTGTGAATCATGTAGAAGCTACGAGTATGGTTCACCAGGTCATTACGGATGATCCTAAAAAAAATTCAGTCCAAATGAGCCAGTTAATAATATTTTCAAAAATTCATGAACTAATACAAACGAAAAACTGAGAAAATCCCGAATTCCTATTTTGTGACCCCTAAGCCCTAAATGCTATAAAAAGTGGTACGGATTATGTAGGGCTATGAGTATGGTTCATCAGGTCATTACGAATGATCCTAAAAAAATTGGATCAAATAGAGTCAACCAGTCATATGTTCAAAAATTCATGAACTAACACACGCGTGAAAAATTGAGAAAATCTAGAATTCATGTTTCGTGACCCCAAAATGTTAAAACAAGTGGCGTGGATCCTCTAGAGGCTATGTGTATGGTTCAAAGGCTATTACAGATGATTCTGAAAATATTTCGACCAAAAAAAGCGGGTCAATAATAGTTCCAAAAGTATTCATGGACTAATACAGAGAAACCGAGCAATAAAGCTTTCATTTCACAAATGGAAAAAATCTTCCTCACGAAGTTATTTACTTTAATTATGTTACTTATATTCCTCTAATAAAACAAAATTTATGCAAAACTTTAAACTTTGACTCTTTACTACGGTTACATTCATAAATTTCTACAACTCATATTTGATCCTTCCAGCTTACAGATCTATTTGATCTAAGTGTCCTCCGACGAGCTCGTTCTGATCTTAATTATACATAGTAACTGGGAATCCACGTAATCCATCATTACCTTGGAATGCGAATGAAGTTTTCTCAAAAAGGTATGAAATCGAGGTCCTTGAAATATACATCTTGTGAGAAGATTGTAAGAGAGAATCAACATTTCAAGAATTATAAGAGAAGCGAGTTGTTTTGGTATCTCTCCTTCAAGCAACTTGACTGATCAAGTGGCGTAGATTCATGTTTTATGACACTAAATGCTATAAAAAGTTGTGTATATTATGTAGAGGTTATGAGTATGCTTCATCAGGTCATTACGAATGATCCTAAAAAAGAATGGATAAAACTGAGCCAGCTAGTAATATATTCAAAAATTCATGAACACGAAAAATTGAGAAAATCTAGAATTCTTGTTTTGTGACTCTTAAATGCTAAAACAAGTGGCGTGAATCCTCTAGAGGCTATGAGTATATGGTTCACCCGGTTATTACAGATGATTCTGAAAATATTTTCACCAAAAAGAGCTGGTCAATAATATTTCGAGAAGTTCATGGACTAATTAACACACGAAAAACTGAGAAAATCCTGAATTTCTGTTTTGGGACTCCTAAATGCTATAAAAGGTGGCGTGGATCATGTAGAAGTTCTTGTTCACTAGGTCATTACGGATGATCCTAAAAAAATGGATCAAACAAAGCCATCTAGTAATATGTTGAAAAATTCATGGACTAATACACATAAAAAATTGAGAAAATCTAGAAATCCTGTTTCGTGACACCTAAATGCTAAAACAAGTGGCGTGGATCCTCTAGAGGATATGAGTATGGTTCACCAGGCTATTACAGGTGGTTCTGAAAATATTTGCACCAAAAAGAGCCGGTCAATAATTTTTCGAAAAGTTCATGGACTAAATTAACACACGAAAAATTGAGAAAATCGTGAATTTATGTTTTGTGACTCCTAAATGCTATAAAAGGTGGCGTGGATCATGTAGAAGTTCTTGTTCACTAGGTCATTACGAATGATCCGGGAAAAAAACGGGTCATACAGAGTCGATTAGTAATATTTTGAAAAATTTATGGACTAAAGCACATAAAGAAAAAGAGAAAATCTTAAATTCCTGTTTCGTGATCCTAAATGCTAAAAAAAAAGTGTTGTGAATCCTCTAGAGACGTTGGTTTATGATTCACTAGATTATTACGGATTATTCAAAAAAAATTATTGCACTTGTATAATTGTATAAAGAAAAAAGCAAAACAGAATGTTTGCATAATATATTATATATTGCACTTGAAAAATTGTATTTAGTCTAATCGAATTGGAAATTAAACTTAATTTGGTTCAAGTGTAATATAAAACTTGAACTAATTACCAGAAAAGACTTCATGGAGAATATTTTTTCCTTTTGGAAAATGCCCATTTTTTTGTTCTTTTCCTTCACAACTCCATAAAGGTTTCTTCGGAGCTGACAAAAGAGGTTGCTTAGATGATAATAATCTTTCAACTCCAACCTCAAAATTATAGGCTCGAGTCACCAATAGAGCAAAAAAGGGGAGCTTTCACTTTTTTGCTCCCTTAACGATTCGAACCAGAGATCTCGAGAACAAATGTGGAGGATGCTTACCATCTGAGCAACTCCCTCTTTGTTACCGTAAAAGCCTTTATAAAGTTATGAAGGAAAAAAGAAAACGAGCAACAAAGTTTGCATTTCACAAATGGAAAAAATCTTCCTCATGAAGTTATTTACTTTAATTATGTTACTTATATTCCTCTAATAAAACAAAATTGATGCAAACCTTTAAACTTTGACTCTTCACTAAGGTTACATTCATAAATTTCTACAACTCATATTTGATCCTTCCAGCTAACAGATCTATTTGATCTTACTTTCCTCCGACAAGCTCGTTCTGACACTACATAAAAAAATGATCTTTAGCAACGATTAATTAACGACAGTAGTTTAACTGCCGCTAAAAACATATTTTTACTGTTAAAAGCTGTTTTTGTTGTAATGTGATCTTAACTATACGTAGTATATTGAAATCCTAAAGCACTACCACGATCCTTCAATACATACTTTTTTTGTTTCATATTACTTGATCCTTGTATCAAATAAATGTTTCATTTTACTGAAACATTTCCTTTTTAGAATGACAAAGGAGCTATGGATATGATATGAAAAGAAACTAAACATTTATAGTTGATAATTGGATAATTATACTTCGTATTTTAGCAAACTTTGTTTTAGTGATATGTAGATATAATATGAAAAGAAATTAAACATTTATAGTTGATAATTATACTTCGTATTTTAGTAAACTTTGTTTTAGTGATATATAGATATAATATGAAAAGAAATTAAAGAAATAATGGAGCTACTAGATATTGAAGCAATGTAGGCAAAAGAAAATGTAGTTGTATATATTCCTAAAACCCTAACACAATGATGATGATTGATGAAGATCATACTATAGGGTTCGAGTCTGAGTATGGAGAAAATTATGTTGGGAGTGTCACTCCCGAATGGACCCTGTAGTGCATGGTATGAATTTAGTTGAAGCCCCAAATATATTTTGTATTTGCCAAACGAGATATTAAACAATGGGAAGAACTGACATATGATAACAAATTCCTCTCTATCGATCGATGAACAACTTGTGTGTTATTATCAATACAACTACATCATTACTCAAAATCAAATTTAGTAAGTACTATATTTTATAATATGAGTATTTTATTTGTGAGATTGTGACTTGATCAGAAAGTAGTAAAACATGTAACATTATTTTGCAAATATGTATGTACATTAGTATTTTAAAATAAAATTAAAATTTTAAAGATTACTATAAAATTATATCTTTTAAAAAAAGAAAGACTCAACGCAATCCGCAGTCCACATAGTAATAGGTTGAGTTTGTGTTTGTTGTTTTAAGGCCCAACCTAGCCCGCTCTTATGGACTGAATCAGCCCATATTGACAGCTCTAATATTAAAACTATCACTATAAAAGGAAAAGAAAACCCTAATATCAAGAAGAAACTAGGGCTCTTCTAACTCTATCTACTCCCTTCTCTCTCAATTTTTGAAAGAGTAGCCCCCATCATTTTCAAAAGATTTTTGTTTCTCCTTAGATGTGTAGGCTATATTAGCCAAAACAAAGTTTTAATTTGGTGATTTGGGCTCTTTGGAGAAGTTAGCCAACCTCAAAAGGTAAGAATTTTTCTATACATGCTAGATATCATGATTTAGGGTTTTATTTCAAGATTTAGAAAACATGACTACTTTTATTGGGTTGAATGTGTTATGTGTTTCTATTTGTTTAGTGAGAATTGATTTTGTAAGTCACTTCCATATTTTTAGTTTTATGCATTAAAAGATCTTCATTTTTACACATACGACAAGATCTGAAAAAACCATTTTTTTCTATTCAATTTATAACTTGCATAGATTCATTTTCTCACTTGTTAGGTGTAGGCATGAGATGATTTTTTTTAGAAATACTAGAAGGTCAAAGTATTGGTCGGAGTAAATCCTAATCTAAGTTGCTCGGACTTAGATGTGGATATCCGACATAGATATAGATTAGGGTTAAATTTTAAAAAAAATCTAAATTTTAAGATTCGTGGTAAGGATCAAGTTAGTTACACGGGAGATAAGTGTTTCTATTTGTTTGGTGGGTGCATGATATGGAAAAAAATTGAAAGA